CAAAAAAAAAAAAAAACATAGCGACAATAAAGGCGAAAATCACCTGCTTACATCCTCCTCCTTATTGACCGCCCATCACTTCATGAAAAAACTTAATTGAAAAAATTTAGATATTATGGCAACACGACTCAATAAAAAGAAGAAAACGTACAGCTGTAAGAAATTGTCTATTATGTTATTAACTCTAAGAACAGAGACGTACATCTTATAAATCAAATACATATATAATTTAAAAATAAATACCATAATTGGTGTAAGGATAATATACTTTTTTAATAATCAGTTTGTTTTGTTTGTTTGCGTATTGCGTCGCGGGTTACAATCAAGACCGTGTGTAAACCAATCAAATTAAAATAATTTTTGAAGCGTTTCCGGCGTTTGCATTTTTATCAGAAATAAATGGCAAGAAGCGAGATTCATTTATAACTACAATACTTATCTATATTGTCCAATTTCAATATGATTGCTTGGTGTCAATATCAGCTCAAAGCCTAATGTGTAGAACAGCTTAATAAAAAAATATTGATTTGTGCACATAACATGTATTGAATATTACAATATCCCCACCATCAACGTATTTTGAGAAATAATAAGTAAAGTAGGCAAAGATTTAAAAAAAGTGATATGTAAATAAATCGGGATAAGCAGAAAACAAGAACCGAATCGCTCTTATCAAATATGTTGGATAACTCGTACGCACGTTGGCCTCAACGCCCATTGTTTCCAATAGATTTGCCAAATGAATCCCTATCAATAACGACTACGTTAAGGCATGCATTGTCCGGGAAAAGTGTTCTGCTCTGGGTTTCAAGGGCATTGCGTATTTTACATTTAAATTGGAAAGCCATTTCAGCTACCTTGGCCGTGACTTTATTCGCTACTCTTTGGTATTATCCTACATTCTTTTTGTTTTTACTATTTACGTTCTATTCGCTTTCATTAATAACGGTTGGTAAGTATTGTTGTTGTAAACGTTATATTCGTTTTCCTAAGTATGGTCTTCATATACATAATATTACACTAACGTTTGCAAATATGTTAATCTTATCTTTTCATATACATAAATGTGGGTGTTGAATTTATTTTCAGCTGTTTTTTGCACCCTATATGTAAATTATTTACTCACTACTAAAGAACCGCCTCAACCAAATCGCGAACCTATGCTCGTATTGCAACAAGCCACTCAGTAAGTTAATAATATGTAGTAAATATTGATTAAGAAATTTAATGCACCTCTTCTCTTTAATATTGCTTATTAACAATCTAGAAACAGATTATTTGATTATCCCAATCCTATAAAGAATCCTTCAAATCTACCACTAATCTTTTGTAAAACAGTTGATCTGCAACTACAGCAAATTATTGAATATATACTTAGAGACTTTATGACACCATGGCTGAGGTAAGTTAGTTTTGAAGCAAGCTCTGGTTGTAATCGTTAAAATGGTTTCTGTTTAGACATGTAGTCCGTAAACCTAAGCTAATTAATAACATTCTACGGGAAGATTTGTGGAATGCTTTGCAAAAAGTACATGAAAGAGCTAAAAAAATGGATGCCTCCAAAATAATAGCTGTTGATATGGTAAACAGAGTAACAGTGCATTTAGAAAAAATACGTATAGCTGATTCAAGAGCGTAAGTGATTTTCTATTCTAAACGACATTTTTTATAATTATTACATTTCTTTTTTATAGAGCTGAGACCTCTAGTCCACCGGTATTTTCTACAAATTCTTATTTGGTTAACGATGATAAAGAAATAGAATTTTTATGTAAATTATGTGAAATAATTGTAATTGTTTTACTGCCTCGCGGTTATTCGTTACCGCCTTTAAAAGTACTGCTTTGTGAAATCCTCTCCTACAAAAGTAATCTATTTGTTTAATCTTTCACATGAGTTAATCTTTGTACATTCTGGTTGCGTTTCTTTGCAGTTTTATTTCCCTTAATCAAAACTCTCACTTCACCAGATTATATAAATCAAAAAATAGTGCAGAATATCGAAAGTCGTTTGGCAGCAGCTGCAATCAGCAAACGTAGTTATGAGTACGCAGCGAGTTTTGAAGAATTTTTAAAAATCATTAACAATTCAGGAAACCTCGAAGAATTATCTTTAATACGTAAAACCATTGTAAACGATTTGCTTCATGCTACGACGATGCAAAATTTGCAACGTTCCAAAGGTATTGATCCAGATAATGATCGTGATCATAATCTGTCGAAGTCGGATATTTCAGCGGCTATCAGACTTAAACGTTATGTTCAGCAATTGTCTTATGCTAAAGCTCAGTGCGAAAAAAATCTGGAAAAATTTGGATGGAATGGTAACTATTCAAGTGATGTGGACCTAAGTCTAATAGAAATTTTAAATACTAGTTTGGGCAGGCGTTACTTAACACTGTTTTTAGAACCATTGAAAGCCAGCGCTTTAGTAGGTTTTTATATGGCCGTCGAGGAAATAAAACAAGCACCAAAATCACTAGTTCATCAATTAGGAACAGAAATCTTTTATACTTACATACGTGTGCCGAAACCTGAAATTCAAATTGACAAACAAGAGCGCAAACTAATAGAAAATTTCTTGCTGGGTGATTCCGGGCCAGATATATTCTTCGAGATACAAAAACATGTAATAAAAACTCTCGAAGATAAATATTATCAGCCGTTTGTATTAAGTGAACAATATCGTCTATTAAAGGATGCTTTAGACGGTGAAGAGTACAAAGATCCCACCTTACTATTTACAACATTAAGTGATAATAATTTAGTAGATGTTGCACCATCTGTTTTAGAGAACGTAGGAGCTGCACCAGCCGGAACAATTGACGTAGTTGCTCATACAACATATGCACGTAAAAAACTTGCTGAAATACAGGAAAGAATTGATAAGAAAAATCAAGCTTTAGAAGCTTTAAAATACTCTGTTAAGCCAGATTCAAAAGTTCTAAAAGTATTGGAAAAAGAAATGGAATGGCTGAGAGGAGTAAAACGGCAAACGGAAGCTCATTTAAGTCGTACTGATGCTTGGACGGAGCATTTGGGTAAATGGAAAGCCACTATACAAACAGCAGAAGTGAGATATATATCAAACAGATTTTAAAGAACTTATAAGAAAAATTATAGTTCCACATGCAGGCATCAGATGAAAAAGAATCTCTGCAATTCATGATCTTAGTGCATGTGGACGAAGATATTAATTTTCCTACAGGCCACAGAACGAGTGCTGGTAAACCAGAAGCACGCCCTGGTAGCATTTCTAGTGGTTGGGTAGTTATGAGAACTTTAAATCATGTTCATGTGAGTATATAAATTTTGCAAAAATCATGCCCCGGGTGAGGCTCGAACTCACGACCTTAAGATTATGAGACTTACGCGCTGCCTACTGCGCCACCGAGGCATTTAGGTGGGGCTCTATTAAAACTCATATCTTTTTAGGAATTGCAACGTAAACTTCGACATGTTAGTTCAAATTTAAAATCATTCGATTTACCTACAAATTTTAAATTTTTTTTTCTCAAAAACGATAAACATACTTTGGACAAAGCCAAACAACAAACTCAGAAGTTTTTAAATGTGAGTAAATATATATTACCATTAAGCAAACTAAACAATATTTAGTACGATGATCGTATTCATTTTAAGATTATTTTGGAAGATGATCATTTAAATGGGAGCGAAGCGATCTATACATTTTTAAGTCCTACTTCCGACCACTTGAAGCAAACTCTACCGTCACCAAAAAAATCGAAATTTTCGCTAGCGACGCTGTTTAAAAGCGATAATATTAAAGCGTCTGAACTACAACAAAAATCAGCAGACACGCTATGGGGCTTACAACGAGATGATGAAGATATGTCTACCTATCTGGATGGTGATACGACTACTGATAGTAAAATATGGGCTGATTTGGATAGTAAAGACTCTATAGCTGAGCCATTATATGCTTTAATGGGTGAAATTTTTGACATGGGTGGCGTTTTCAAGTGGTTACGTAAAAGCTTAATATCGTTTGTACAAATCACTTATGGTAGAACGATAAATAGGTACTTTCTAAAAAGGTTTACCTCCGTTAGAAATAACGAAATTAAATTTGATGTATTCTTTCTTTTACCATAGACAAATTCGTGAATCCGTTTCTTATCTTTTCGAAGAATCTATGTTGCATTATTATTTTTCAGCTATTTTAAAGTCATTTTGGCCGGGTGGTGTATTGGCCTCAGCCTATCCAGTGCGGTCCGATGATATGAAAGAAATGACTACCAATGCTGCTAAAGCTTTGCTAATGGATAATATACCCGAAGTTTTATGCAATTTGGTCGGTGCTCAGGCTGCCAAAAAGGGTATACTGAAGGTTTTCGATGCTCTTCAAAATCCTACATACAATAAACAATTATTTTATGTAAGTTTTAATCAAGCCGTAATAGAAAATTATTGAAAAAAAATTTTTTTACAGGAATTACTGGAAATTTTAATGATGGAATTTTTTCCAGAAATCAAACAATTAAAAATGCAAACACGTTTAACGGCAACGAATAATAGTACTAGCAGTACCAGTATTGGACCGTCGAACAATAAATTGCAAAGCCATACGAATGGCAACAGTCAGCAGTGTGTACAACAGCAATCATCACAACAGCAATATAATTATTCGCACCATTTACAACAAACGGGAAAATAATTTCACATAGATGGTGATAAATTCTAGGCAAGCACACCAAAAGACACGGAAAGGCTCAATGTTGTAGTTTTGATACAAAGGATTTTCTTCATTTTTTAAGAGGAAATATACAACACTTAAAAGCAACTGAAAGATTACAAGCAAATCTTAACTATTGAATGTGATGTTTTTCGAATTATATGTAAACGATATTTTTCTCTTATTTATCTTCTTTATTAATTTAAGAATTATGATTATGTACTTCTTCTGCTTTTATTGTAATAATCGATATGGCCAGTTAAGTAGGATTTTTTTTTTTTTTTTTTTTTTTTTTTTTTTTTTTTTTTTTTTTTTTACTTTTAAATAAAATTATTAACAAAAGTATTGCGTTCAAAATATAACTGCATGCATGTAAATCTCAGCCCCCCACCCCTCAGTACAATGCATTCCAAAGATGTTTAAAAATTAATTTAAAAATTATTAAATAAACAAAAGTTGAGCGAAGACTATTGTATATAAACAATAAAACCATTTTCATCTTATTTGCAGTTTCAACTGCATTATAAATTTTGACATAGTTAATATAGGCGATAAGCTATCGTTTATATACGTATGTAAGTTTAGATCAATTTAATAAAATTTTTTGTTGAAAACAGAAGAAAATAAAGCAAAGACATTATACAAATGTGGTCACAATATCCCTTTATATGAATCAACAATATGGAGAAATTCTATATATAATTATATCTATGTGTAAAATGTTATAAGACACTTTCAGCTAATTGCATTCATGTACAAAGCCTAAAAGATATAAAATTATAAATAAAACATAAAAAATATTATAAGAGCTATGTTCGAAATATCTATAAATCAGAGACTACGCCAATATCTAAAAAGTCACGGGGCACAACTTTACGTGGGAAAAAATTAATTATTTTTTCTATTACGAAATAGTGTCGAGGTACGCTAAGCTCTTCGGGGCCAGTACGTTGAGCTTTAATAACGAAAGCAGCTGTTTCCCGGGGGTTAATCAACTCCATCCAAGAAAAAGTACCATTCATATAGGGATAAACGATAGTCATTTTAATCTAAAAGGCAAGATATTCAAATATATATTGATATGTCCATATATGTAATTAACTTATCAATTGATTTACCTTATCTTCGGAGTTTAAATAACGCAATTCCTCAATCATAACTTCATAAAGCCACGTACAGCGTATTTTGTACCGCAAATATGGTACCATATTATTAAACCAAATAAGCCAGCACAAGAAAATGGAGCAGCTATGTGTCCACGTCTGGAGCGTATCCTATCAGGCAAAAATACTTGAAGCATCTATAATTCCAAAAAATAAAAAGATTTATCATCGATAAGCCGCTTAATACGAGAGTTGTCTCTTGAAGTACAGCAGCCAATAGCGAAATTGACGATCTTTTTGCTTTCTGGAAAACAATAACTTTTGTAGCGTCCTTGCCAACGCTAGGCTTAGAAGAACTTTATATCATGAGGAAAAGTTTACCTTTTAATTCATAAAATTTTTTGTCTTCGACGAAAAAATCTATTTCAGCTTGGTATTCTCTGAGTTTTTTGCAAAAAGAATGCGGTGATATTATTTTTTTCATGCGTACTTCTCTTTGTTTTATGTTTTCTCGCTTTGACTAATCTTGCCTCCAGATCCTTCAATTGATGATTACTTCCTGTGTTTGTCACCCTCCTAATTTTGATGGGCGATAATGTATGGAAAGGATATCTTTTACTTTTTGTAAATTACCAAAGTTTTTTCTTTTTTTATATCTAATGATATTCTTTTCGTATCCTACTGATTTGAACTCTTTCTTGTTTCTAGATTATCTTCGACAGTGTTACTTTTGCTTGTTGAGCTCTGACCGTTCACTTTGTACCTGTCATGATGGAATGTATACACCGTGTCTTCCGAAACAGGCCAGGTTCTGGTCTCTCTGGTCTGTTGGCTATGTGAGCGGCATTGAGATCTGAAACATGCTGGTGTTATCGAGAAGGGAGCGAAATGGTTACGTTGCTCTTGCACTGACTATAAAAATTGAGCATTGACCCTTATCAACTTTTTATGCAGACAAAAATGGGCTTGTTTGAGATAGGTAAGGAACTTACGGCGTTATCTTGTAAATTCGAAAGATACAAGATGATATTTGATGACGTTTGAAGACCTTAAACCTTAACTGGTGTGCTTTGCTTCAGAATGATAAGATACGAACATGTAATGCGGAATGTGGAATTTCACAGAACACTCATGCCCCCGCACCTGTTATTCTACCTACGGCTTGCCTCCAACTGTGAGCCTTGCGGATATCTTGTCGCCAAATCCTTTAATGATATCGAGTATTCCATACCTGGCTGTAAGTAAAAATCGAAGTTGCTCTATTGTTAATAAAGTTAACATCAAAAGAGGTCCTACCTAATGTTTCTTCTTGCGTCAGTTATGCAGGTTCGGCAAGATTGTCTCCTCCCACTGGCCAAAGTCAACTTAAATCACCAACAAAAAAATAAAAAATCTTCCTTCTCTCCTAGCTATTCCTGTGCAACTGAGGGCCATCAAGTTACATATAGAACAGAACTACTCCTTCCATATCATGTGTACAAGGCATTTTCTCGTGGCTTATGAATTGATTTAGTACATAAAGATTTTAGTGCAGTTTTTGACCTTGTTATTCATAGTTAGTGATTTTTATATATCAACCCCCCCGATTTCCTTTTATACGTATTGAAATTGACAAGCTTTCATCAATACAATAGGTAATTTAGAGTTCTTTTGATGAATTTCCCTTTAGGTGTCCCTCAAGCTAGCCAGTTGTGGCCTTTACCATTCCTCCTGTACATCTAGGAATTAATTATTGAAAATAGAGATGTTGTCAGCTTATGTTAAACTGTAAGCATGTTCTTCAATCGATTTGGCCCATTTTCAACACCAACTGACATATAAGAACTTCAATTGTTTCCACCAGAATTAACGTTGGTAGCTTATCAAGAATATATATTATTTAAAGGATGTCTGGTAGTTGCCTCTGGGCGTTTTGGTAAAATGAATCCACCCCTGTGGTGGTGATGGTTTCTGTTTTTATAAAAATTTATAAAAAGCAACGCGGTACGATAAAGATATGTACATGCGTATACATATTTGTTGCGAGATGGAACATTAGATATAATTTATGGCTATGTGAGTATGCATAATTTAAACGCAGCCTTTTAAATTATTTAACATTTAATATACTTCTTTTTCTCTTTTCTCATGTGTGCGTGATTCGTGAAAAGCATTAGCCTTTAGTAGGAGTACCTTGCTTCTTCTAAATCGTTTATAGATATTGGGACTAAAATCACACAACCTAATAAAATAAGCCTGGATGCAACCGCTTATTACTGTTGGGGAAGCGAAGGCAAATAAAGATTTTTGAGGATACTTTATTATTCACACCACATTGACGATGTCTATTGGAGAGTTTAGTTTACTCTTCGACAGTTGTACTGCCTCAATATGAATTCGTATTTGTCCTACCATGTAAGGGAGAAAGTGGCCCATGGCTTGCTGATGTCACAGATATCTTATTGTGTATAAGTATATTTGTGTACGATAGCCGATAATGTTAATAGAATTAAGCTGTTAGTGGATAAGATTGCTAGGTTTGTGTTTGGCGTAAAATATCGTAATTCTAGCTCTAGTCAATATGGAATTCGACATTACAATTACATATCGCGGCATGTCAGTAACTCCATAAAATGTTCTTTTGACCATTTCCTGACTGTAAGATATCTTATACGCTTTTATGAAATAATCAAGAGCTATACACCGCAGTTTTTAGCACAAAGATTTAACTTTTTACGTCTTTCCTTTAATAAGTAGTTAAGTCTTTGGGAAATCGCTTCTAATTACGGTTGCCCACTCGTGGAATCATCTAACCAATGAACTGCGATCATCCTTCTATTCTACACTCGCGTCCAAAAAAAAAAACTTATTGAACATTGCAATAGAATTTTGATCTAATTTTCTTGTATCCATGGTTGACTTTAGATCTTAGTGCGCTTTTCTGATTGTTAAATCTTGTAGGTACAAAATGTGATAGATTGGAATTACTAATACAATAAAATAATAGAACAGTAATGTTATAAATGTTGTCATATGGATTCAGAGTTGTTATATATAAAATAAAATATGAATATGCTTGATTGTAATATGTATTTGGCCACAAAGAGCGTTTTATATTACACAATGACAATAATAAAAAAAATTGATGGATCTAAATATAAAGATTTTCTAAATATATTTATAAAAGTGGTGGTTTATTGGAATTAAATTCAATTTGTTTTCAAGTTACATTTGGTAAAACCGATTGAAGACATACGATATTCCAATAAAGTCTACACACAATGCCTAAAATTGAGGTTTCTCTTATGAAAAACTGCAGTGATGAGTTGAGTGTTAAAAAATATATTTCTGAAGAATCAAAATCTCCTATTAAATAACATTTATAGCCTTTTTTTGAATTAAGATAAAGTTATAAGCAAGAAATATACTTTAATTCCATAAAAAACACAAAAAAGTTTACGTACAGCGAAAAAAAAAGGAATAGAAGAGTCGAAAAAAATTTTTTATATTCATCACCGACGGATGAGGGGTATATTCATTCTATCTAGCATCAGAGACCTGGTAAACTATATATATTCCTGATCTGCATCAAATCCTAAATCGAGCATGTCCGTTTGTCCATCTGTGTAAAGTCTTTTGTACACATTTTCCTGGCCGTAAAAATGAAACTATCGACTTCAAATTTAGCAGAAACATTGGAAGTTTTTGAATGCAGGTTGGTATTGAAAATGGGCCAAATGGAAAATAGAAGAAATCAACTGCGCCCAGTTTATTATTTCATATTATAGAGCATAAGGATTTTATTCTTTTACTTCTTTGGTATTTTTTTGGGGTAAACAGTGGTGGGTATAGAAGATTCGGTCCTGACCAAATTTCACTTTCTTACTTGTTATACTTGTTTTTGTACATTTAAGTAATAATTTATCAGTTAATGAAATTTTCGAAGAGGTTCGAAATGTAATAGCAAATACAACTGGAATTAATTATCTACTGTCCAAATTGTTAGAAAAAATTACAATAACACAAGCACCATAGCAAATAAGCAACCGTCAGGCCAACCAATCAACCTTAAGGAGCGTGAAAATCGAACTGTTGTTGTACGTGTAACTTTGCGAGATTGCGGTCTCGTCATATTTTTGGTATAACGTAACGATCATTCAACATAAATACATGTTGTTCCAAGCGGACCTGAGCTCCAAAGAATGTTGCGGATGTGTCTAAGACCAAGGAGGACTTGAAATACACTCACCTTTTATTATACCGATGGACTCATAATCAATTTCTGAATCGATCTGAGCTTCTCTATCCGTCTTTTTTTTGTATTCAACATGCAGGTCGCAGTTTTTGAGATAATTTTTGAGATAAATTTCTTACATTGACATATATTGTCACAAAGGCGAATGCTATTGAATATTAGTCGGATCGGATTACTTCGTCGAGCACTTCCCATATAACAATAACTATGCGTTGGTATTTAATGTACTATGGGCATAACGTTTTATTTGTATTTGATAGCAAACACTCGGAACGAAAGATACGTGTACTTCTAAAATTATTAGTTTACCTTCTAGACTAAGTAACTTTATTAGTGGTAAACGATATCTATATAGTGGAGGCAAACGTTAGGATCTCAAGCTAATAAGACGAAAAAAAGACCGGCGAAAGCAGCTTTTGCACGAATTCGCTTTGCTTTCAATGAAGATTTTATTGTAGATCTCATATAACAGAGCCATACTCAAGAGTAGCTGTCAATCAATCAATTAGCTAACAATGAGACACTCGAAAAAACGTAAATATATTGAGCCCTTTCTCTTGTGCTAAGATGATTTTCTGTAGCTATTGTTTGTCTATTTAGATAAAATTGACGATTAGTCAAAATTCAAACGCGCTGTTATCCTTGTACCAGTTTTAATTCTTGTAGGAATGCAATTTCATTACAAGTAGAGAACATAGGTCAACTACCAGCGTTAATTTTGAGCTGAAAAATTAAAAAAAACACGATAAGTATTGCAAGCACGGTTTTCCTTTAAATGATTTGTACAAATAATGCTGATACATTGTCAACTGCCAGAAAAATTGTATATTCAGTTCAGGTGCACAGTGTCCTAGATTATTTTACTGAATCCTCTATGAAGCCTTTTTACATCCTTTTAATTGTGTTTGCAAAATAGCAAAGAATACCGTAGACGATTGTTTACGTGGGAAGTAATGTACGAAATTTAGCTTGTCGGCCAGTCATTACTGATGTCGATCAAATCGAGCCTGTGAACGACTCCTGTTGACATCAAAATAGTTACTGATGTGACACTGTGCCTAGCCCACATTTTAGCAAAGACAAGAAAATAATATATATATTATAAGAAAATAAAAAAAAAAAATTTTTCATGTATTTACCATACAGTGCATGTCTATTGTTGACGAAAAGTTACAATATACAACGTGTGTATAATAGTCTTTAACGAATTTTCGCTGGTGCAGATTTTTGATATGTCTTAAAGAACGCTAAAACCTATCAGAAAAACTTAATTTCATTAAACTGGTTCGGATACATCGCCGCGAAATGCGCCAAAAACCTGCACTTTCCATATTCACATAGGCAAAATGTTGCAATAATGTTGCTAATGAATGTTGCTAATGAAGTGTTCGGTTTTGTACACATAATGTTTTTGCCTATATTCAACATGTATGTTTATGATTACACGTTAAGGGCATATGTTTGCAACAGTAGCGCGTTTGTCCTTGCACTTGCTTAAGAAGTTATATGCATGTTATTGAGTGGTCGCCATTTTTCTAAATATGAATCACGTACCATTTTATTCAAAACATTCTATAGGCAAGTCGAATATATGCTATAGCAAAAATGTTCGTGTGCGCTTGTGCATTCACTTGTTGATTAACAGCCACTTGACTGCCTGCTTTCTCTTTCTCATTATTTATATCGGCAAAAATGTAGTTTATGACTTTTGGGTATGGTGGCATATATTCTAAGATTATGACCTATAACTTATTTTATTTGAAGACAATATAACACCTAAAGTAATTACGATATAATTACAATGAGTAAATCAAATAATTAATAAGCCGGACATTTTGGAGAATAGTGGTAGTAGCTAGCAACATTTTGCAACATTTAGCCTTTAGGGTCTTGTGAATATGAATAGGGCCGGTTTTTGGCGAATTTCGAAGCGATGTATCCAGACCAAGGTAATGAAATTAGGTTTTACTGACAAATGAAATGGTTTTAGCATTTTTCACGACATATGAAAAATCTGTAGTCGTGTGATGTCTCTGACAATGGTTATAATACAATTTGTATTTGCACTTCAATTTTGGATGAGATTTAATAGCAATAACTTAGGCTTCCTAGTTTTGTGTCCATAGGTAGAGGCTTACTTTGTTTTATATGTGCACGTTTGCTAATATTATGTAATTTTAATATTTATTTTACATGTGCATTCTTTGTTCCGCAATAAATGGTAATGTAGCGGATACATTTTTAGTGAAGACACGTACCGTGAAAATGTGAGTTATCTTGGTGGGCTATCTTCACTTCAGTAAATATTTTAGAATTGGTTTAGAATTTTTTACTAAATGTTTCATTTTTTTTCATATCAAAAATATTATAGTTAAAATAATTCCGTAACTTAGCGTACGTAAAATTGCTATTATCCAACATGCAGCAAACTTAATTATTTGATTATCTTTTTCAATAATTAAATGTTAGGCTGGATAAGTTCGAGATATTGTGAGGCAAAAGGAACATACATCTACTAACCCTTCCATTTTGGTAGAATAGAATAAATTATCACGTGTTCCAAATAACTATGTGGGGCACTCCCTTCCTAAATAGGTGAAACATAAAGAGATAAGAAACAACAAAACAAAGGAAGCCTAGAAAACTCTGAATAATTGAAAATGATTTTAGTTTTTATTTTAGGTTTCTTAATATACTTCGTGGAACGCTTATATTGTCTTACACATAAAATCTTGCTAACACGCATATCTATATAAACCATGCCATTATAACTCATGAGCACGAATTCGATGACGTATGGCATTCATAAGGAAATTTGTAAGCTAATTTAAACTTGTAGCGTAGAAAAAAATGAAATAATAGCACTTTCCGCTGGCAAACATTGACCAAATGCTTCGGTAAGTAACGGTTCTTTTTCTACTGTCATCATAAAATCGTCCAAGGAAACCTGCAAAATAATGTATTTGTTTTATTATTTTAAAAGTTTTTTTCTACCCCTCAGTCAGCCCAGTTCGCGTACCTTGCCATCTTTATCTATATCGAACTTTTTTAAAACAATTTCCACTAAATCTTTAACTCCTTCATCAGGATCTTCATCCTGTGGCTGTTTGATAAGAGAATTGCGCAATAGTGTAAATATTTCGTCTTTGGTGATGAAACCGTCGCCATTCAAATCGTAAACGCGAAAGCAAAATGCTGCCTTTTCATTACGTGTTCCGCGCAAAAACACTGATAGACCCACTAGCCAGCCATCCAAACGTAAAGGCAAACCTTCGTGGGATTTATCCCAACTACAAAACATCCGTTCCATTAAAATTTCTTCGGTCACAATATCGAAAGTGCTATGCAATAATTCACGGAATACAATTCGCTCAATGCCCTAAAAAATTAAAAAAACCAATACAAAGTAAAATACAATTAATGAGTATAAAAAATAAATCATCCCTACCTCCTGTTGTTGCGGCTTAACAATAGCAGCTCCTGAACTGCTAACTGTTAAGGTTTTATTAGCGAATTGGCAGTTACTAACCAATTTACGATAAATACGACATAAAGCATCCAACTCATCCCTGGAAATTATTATAACTATTATTTCTCTTCTTATTAACCAAGAGAACTATATTTCAATATACTTGGTAAACTTTGTCTTTTTACGTAAATGCTCTAAAATTTTTGGATTAATTTTGCCGCTTAATTCATTCATTTTTTCCTCTTTTAAACGTCGCTTTGACTTCTGCGATATTTTTGTTAGTTTTTCATTAATAGATGAATTTCGCTTCCCGTTCGCCGAAAATGCAGAAACAGTTTTTAGAATGGTTGTCTTACTATTAAAGTTTACAATTCTTATATCGTCACCGGCAATATTTGCATTGTTTGCATTGACGTCTACAGCACTAGTAACATCTTTAGGTGTTGGGTTATAACCTTTCGTAACATAACTATGGTTAAAATCCCAACTTATTGTTGACTTGGTTGCCACTAGAAGAAGGAAAAATTTCAAACAAAATCGAAAATGAGTTGTTTACAGAAAACCGAAATGGAAAAAAACAAAATCAAAATTAAAAGAAGACACGCAATCATGCATCTCTCATATATTAGTTTGGGGAAAAATAAATCCATTATTTTTATATGAACTTCAGGACTTTATTTAACATGCTTCGAATTGTCCGATTTGGGTCAAATATGCACCGTTTTGTTGTATGATTTGTTGCCTTTTTAAAGGTAACTTCAAAATGCCTCTCTCATAGAAGTCCTGGTCTCTATTTGCAAAAAACTCTAGTAGTCGATTTTCACAATCCTCCCTAGATTCCAATTTTTTATCATTAAAAAAATTTTGCAATGCAAGAAAAAGATGATAATCGCTTAGTGCCAAGTCCGGACTGTATGGCGGATGCATTAAGACTTCCCAACCAAGCTCCCGAAGTTTCTGGCGAGTCACTGTAGATGTGTGTGGCCTAGCGTTGTCCTGGTGGAACACGATACCTCTCCTGTTGGCCAATTCTGGCCATTTCTGGTCAATCGCTATCTTCAAACGGTCCAGTTGTTGACAGTAGAGATCAGAATTTAGCGTTTGGCCATATGGAAGCAACTCATAATAAATAATCCCCTTCCAGTCCCACCAAATGCATAGCAAAACCTTCCTGGCCGTTTGAGGTGCTTCACCGCTCTTTGACCGCGATCGTTTTCGCACAGGGTTATCGTATGTGATCCATTTCTCATCTCCAGTCACCATCCGTTTAAGAAATGGGTCTATCTCATTCCGTTTGGCCAAGGCTTCGCAGATGGAAATTCGATCCATCATGTTTTTTTCTGTTAATTGGTGTGGCACCCAAACAACGAGCTTCTTTTTGAATCCAGCTTTGTGTAAATGGTTTACAACTGTTTTATGCTCCTGGGCGATGTTACGACTGCTAACATGCCGGTCAACTTCGATCATTTCTCCGATTTTATCGACATTTTCGACGACCGGCCTACCTGTGCGAGGTGCATCTTTAACATCAAAAATTCCTGAACGGAATCTACGAAACCAAAATTGCACATAATTGGCTGTTACAGTATCGGAACCATAAACACCATTCACAATTTTAGCCGCCTGGCTTGCATTTTCGCCTTTGTCAAAGAAAAACTGTAAAATGTGCCGAATTTTCTCTTTGTTCACTTCTATTTTTAACACGCTGTAACTCACAACTGAATGCACCAAACAAAAAACAGCAGAAGAATTTTTTTTACTGCGAAATGTCACCTTTCCAACGAGCATAGATCTGAAATTGTTTGATCGATACTTTACGAGAAATCTATCAGTGCAGCCATCTACCGAAAAAACAATGGATTTCCTTTTCCCCAAACTAATATATTGTATGTGTACATTTAGAAACGGGACCTGAACATTCATCACCAGTGAATGGAATTTTCAAAGTACATACACATGCCCATAAGTATGTCTCCTTTGAGGCGATATAAACAAACTTATGAGTAGTACACGTGCACGTTATGGCATATAATTAAAACCTTTGGTCAAATAGGTACGTAAATGGACAATTTCGAATAGTTTCCTCCTCATGCTCATCATCTAAGGATGGTGTTACAATCATTTTGTCAAAACGCTTGCAACACCCGTATTATATTGGTCAGTATCAAATTCTAAATCAATCTAATCTGTGGTAAGCAAATTTTCTCAATTGCAAGGATGAAGACATAAGCTACAATTTTGGAAAAAATAGGTAAAATTCCCGTAGATAGACTGCTATTCAAAACAGAGAAAATAAATCAAGGATAGACATAGAGTACGTTATAAGCTACAGAGGATACAACGATACAAAATTTTCACGTATATTTCACGTATATGATACTACGGTTATCAATACAATAAGTTATGCAAATTTCATTTTTTTGGCCTTTTGATTTTTTTTACAACGACGATGGTGAGTGCAAACAATTCGGTTGCAGCTAATTACGCCTTTTTCACTTTTATTTAGTTTTCTACTAATGGCCCATAATCAGGCGGACCTGCTTGACTTGCAGTACGTGAATCAAAATGAATTGTCACCTACAACATACTTCAGCTGATCGCCAATAAGGCGGACAGGTGGAGCATTACACTATGAAGTGTTCAAATTTTTAGCATTCTTCAACTTCACAACAGAATCACTCAAGACAAAGTTAATCAAGTTATAGTTTAATAGGATAGGAACGTTGTTACCTTAGTTTGTTCTGTAGTGATTTATATAATGTATTCCAAAATTGCGTTAACCATAGCTATGGAACAGTTACATATATTTTATAATATAATTATAATAAGTAACGTTTGGGGTAGAATTTAATGATTTGGCTGGATTATATTAGCGAAAACAAGTAAGAACATTATTGTAGGGCAAGGCCGCTAATAAATACTCTACACTTCTCCGCCCAGTACAGTTACTCGCTCGTTTCGGTCAAAAAAATTACACTTTCTTCATGCAAAAACATATATTTTATGAAAATCCGCGAATCATATGATCCAAAGTTAGCAAACTTAACTTCCTTCTCAAATTTTACCATTTTTCAGTTTCCGCCATAGAAATTATACTTTTTCTCCATACAGGAGCTTGCTTTCCATGATAATTGACATCTAAAAAATAAATCCATGTGATCCAAATTCCCTGCTGTTAATTTTTTTGGCTAATTTGCCACTATGGACAAATTTTCATCATAAAATATTAAAAATTAAACCTTTTTCTGAGGAGCTTACTATTTATGAGAAATTTTATATGAAACGGGATCCAAGAAATAGACCTCTCTGGTTCATATTTGGTCCACTAAGATTTTGTGCCAAATTATTATTACAAACAAATTTTCATCTTAAAACATTAATAATTAGGCTTCTTGGGAGACATTTTCTGAGAATTCTTTTGTGTTTCTTTTTAAGGCAGCTTGCGTGTTATATACGTCCGCGTAAATTTGATATATCCTGTACCACAAGTGATGTAGGGTATAAAAATTGAAACAAGTGGAAAAGAAAAAAATACTTTTTTATACTGGACCGACGTGGTTAGTTTCCATTTTTGTTGAACATACGCGGAAATTTTTGCGTGTGCCTATTGTAGTTCATGTATAATACGCAAAAGCCCAGAAAGCAGAGAAGCGCTGTAAGCATCTTCTTCGACCAGTTTGACTCATTATAAATGCAAAACAGCGTGCAGGAAGTTCCAATGTTTATGCCAATTTCGAAGCCGGTAACTCCATTTCTGTTGACAGGAGAACGTTTACCACAGAAATTACCAATAGACGGACAGAGGGAAAATCTTAAATCGATTCGGAAATTGATGACCAAGAATGTATACAGTTTACGAAGCCTCTCAAACTTCCTTCTACGTGTTGCAAACGTTTGGATTAAATTTATGAATTGAAGAAATTCACAAAAAGCAATCCTTTGCAATCAATCCAACTAGACATATAAAAATACATTCATTGAAGAAAAAAACCACCTTTTACCATTGATGGTACTTTTTCACATCTATCGATGAGAAAATTGGGTGTGAGCTTTTGCGATCATCCGATATATAAGTAATAGGGATAATCAGTGCGCCATGAAGAAAACAAGTGTAAATTACGTATTTTTCAGCACTTTTAAATAGTTCAGGTCCACAAATAGCACTGATCACATGCATTTAACAAGCTACTTTATAATTTTTGTGCATAGAACATATATTGATTTAAAGTAATGAATACCAAGCCACCTATCAATTTCGTCCTTTTAAATTTTGGACAAATTTTTTTTTAGTCAATCCAAAGCACTTTAAGTGACGTATAAATAGTTTAGAAACGTTTTGTTATGGTGCACCTACTTTAAAATCCAAAACAAAATTTTTTTTCTGCTTTCAACTTTATCCGTTTCAAATCCAGCTTGAACGTTTTACCAAAAAGAATGCAAACGATAAATATATTTTTGGGAGAATTATAAACTTAGGCATGAATTATTCATATTTTCATTTACTATATGTATTATATTTGTCAGGAATCAAAGTTTTTCTTTTATTATTTTGCGTCGTTCTTTTGTATATGTGCGTAATTCCTTGAATATTTTCGAAAGAATTAATTTTCTTTATATACAAAATCAAAGTTTCCATGGAAAAAATGTGTTTCAGTAAATATATAAATTTTTGAATAATAAAAAAGTAAATTTTTCACACCTATGATGGAAAGTAAATAAAAAGCCTTCTTTTATTATATAAGATACTTGCGTATATACATATCTGCATTGCATGCGCTTAGATAAGTAACTATAACAAAGCATTATTATTGGTTTATTATTCAAACTAATTAAATAAATTGAAATGCAAGAAGCAAGTGAGAATATTACAGTCAGGCAAAGTTCGACATTGGATACCATACACCACTTCGCCTAATACACGCATTCATCCATTTTCGTGATAATAGCGTAAATATTATGCATTATATGTATGCAAAGCCACACTTTTCATAAAAGCCCTCTTATTGGAGGACGCCTAAAACGTCAACTAACTTAGTTCAAATTTAGAAAGCTTAATTTCCTTGCCAAATTTTTTTTAGCATTTTTTAGTAGCTTCCGTCATAATAGACTTTAAACTGTTTTTTTATGTATTTGGTGAAATCTAAAAAATAAAGTGAAAAATCGATGTTATCCAAATTGCCTACGGGTAATTTTTATGGTACATTGCTACTATGGGCCAACTTTCATCATAAAATATTGAAAATTGCACGTTTATAAGACATATAAGTGTTAAATGTGTTTCACGACAATCTTTGTAAGTGATGATGTCCAAAAAATTAACTTACTTGATTCAAACTTGATACCGTTACGTTTCATATCAAGTTACTCTTATGAACCAATTTTCATCATAAAATATTAAAAATTGGACGTTTTAATCATATAAAGTTTCTTTTGTCATTGCCACCCTTATACGAGGTGGGATCAAAAAAAAAAATCTACGTGGTCGAAATTCGACAAGATTAATTTTTATGCCAAATTATAATTATGAACAAATTTTCACCAAGAAATATTGAAAATTAGGCGTTTTGTGCGCTTATACCTTTTTTAGTTTCAGTCCCGAAATTCTAAATATTACAATATTTTTTCATGTAACGACTTTTCAAAATAAAGGACGTCTTCGAGAAAGTGATCTTATCCGAATCATTTCATTTTCAATAAGGTTCGTCCTTTGGCCAAAACACGTCAGTGCACCAAATTTCACCAAGGTTTTCAAAAATTGCAACTTGTAGCTTGGATTCAAGAATACACGTAGAAACAGACAGACAAGTTTACATTGATACAAAAAATGCTTTTCAATCAATCGGCATAATTAAAGTTGGGTTTATTCAAACTCCTTCTGTGTGCTGCATTTGTCTGCACCAAGTTAGTATAGCCACTATCCAAAGCGGGGTAGGGTATAATAACGAAAATTATATAAACTAACTACTAAATTTTGGATTGCTTCTATTTTTTAAGTGGAGGATACCGCTTGGCATTATGTTTAATGAGTTCATTCAACATTTCTAAAACCTTTCAAAATATGGTTCCAAAATCCCAAATCCAATTAATTTCATCTAAGTAATTTTCCCTAATAATAAATTCACTAAAGCAGTAAAAACCAAATGCGCATTCGCAGGCGCGTCATGCAGCTGCAGACCGATGAAAACGATTAGAGGAAAAGCAAGCTAGGATAAGAAATAAAACCATAAATTTAGGTAGTAACATGCTTGCAAAAATGTATATAATATTGTATATAGAATATTTGTGGAAGGGAGAGTTAGTCGGATAAGAACATAGAAGTTGAGAGTAAGGCGAAAATAAATTGTGAATAATCCTATATTTAAGGAACATAATTGTAAATAAATAATCCTACTATTAAGGAATATAATTGTAAATAAAACAACTTTGAAGTGTATTTCTCTTGGCCAAAATATCCACGATCCAGTGATACGAACTGTATCTTAGAAAAGCAAATTTCATAACAACATGTTATATCGATTCTGCAGAGGAATTGTAAATTATATGTGGGAATTTTGGAAAATTTCAAAAAATTTGAAACGCAAAGTCTCATGAATTAAATTGCATTAGCTATCGAAGACCATTGTAAAGAGTAATGATATGCGCTTGGCAGCATCAAGAAACTGAGAAATTAACCAAATCGTTAATACTGATCACTGTCCAGTTTGAGTCACCTACTAGTACTACGTCCTAGTGGATCTAGCGAACGCATACACGGACATCGTGTTCGTATAATTTTCGAAATCCTTTTCACATTATCTCCAATGTGCCGCAAGGGCCCGCTTTCCCCCAAGCTAGCCCTTGCGCGCGTAATCAAATTAGACTTCACAGCTAGTTTACATCTGATACCCTTGCCAAATCGCCGTTATTAATTTTAACTTCACGGATATTGCAAACCCACAAAGGGGGACAAATGCCCTCATATAACAATGAGGTTCAATGTGGTAGACAAGAACTAATTACACTTTATGTGACGTCAAAGACTATAGTGTTAAGCTTTCACATCAGGAAAATACGTTATGTCCATCTGAAAATCTACCAACCACGAAAACCATATAATAATATAATAATAAATAATAATAGTTAATTATAATAATATGAATAAAAAAATAGCGTCGATCTTACAAATCCAAAAACTAATGAAGATCTTATATATCTATAATGTGTGTGTGTTTGTAGGTATGTGTGAGTGTGGGTTTGTGTATGGGCGTGTACGTGTGTATTTCTTTGTTTGTTTGTCTAGTGAAATATACAACACAAAAGACGAGAGAAAGGAAAAGCTACATATATATATAAATATATATATAAATATATATATAAATATATATATATATATAAATTTAATTTAAATTTAATCTTCCTTTAACTG